CTTGTAAATAATGAAAAAATTTGTGATTTGCAAGGGCTACTGGCCATTTATGCAATAAAGACATACATACATACATACATACATACATTTCCAGCGCTTGCTTAAAATTCTCCCGATTTATTCTGGTCTTTCTTTGTAAATAGCGGCACCAAGATAAATCGACATAAAATTGCAAACAGGGGGCGTCAGGCTGTCTGGGTCTTTGATAGCAAGGACTACATGGACAGAGGGACGACCACGCCTGTCACAGTCACATCGTTGCGAGTTGTCCACGTGAAGAAGAAGACATGGTCCTAGTACTACTCGCAGTGGAACAAAAAAGAGAAAGACTTGGGACAAGAGCATGTAGTAAAGTCAAAGCAGCTGGCAGGAAGGAGATTTGGGGCCAGCATCCACATTCGACAGGAAGACTAATGATTTTGACGGTTTAATCTTCTTCCCCCGTCCATCCAGAAAAGCAAGTGACAACTTCCCCATCATCCTCACACAGCATGCACACACAAAAATGAAAAACGTGGACATTGCAAATTACAAAAAACACATTGCCGCGTCATGCTTCTTGCAGTCAAGATTTAGAAAAAATGGTAAACTATGTAGTTGCAAGTCGAAAAGGGGAGAAAAAAGAATGTCCGCATGACAAAGGGAACGCCATTCATGGACGCCTTTGAAGTGGACCCATCCGGATTGTCAATTCAGCAATTCCGAACTCTGGGCAGGCGTTTGATTTACCGAATTCCAAAGTCAACTTCACTTCCTTCCATGTGAAAAATGTGCAGATGGACCTCCGCCCTTCTCACTTACGCCGACCAAAATGAACTTTTTCACTCAACCCAAAATCGTCCCTCAACCACAGTTGAGATTGTGCTGAAAACTTACTTTGTGTCAACTTCAGGGTGAAATCCTCCATGGCACTTACTATCCCCTTTCAATAAAACACTGCTAATCTGTACGACAACTTTGCTTCTTTGTCAAAATATTTTATAAAATTGAGCCAGTTTTTGCACGGATTTTCAATTTTAATTTGCCTTACTTTCTCCAAGACAAATATAAACAAAGAGAGTCTGAAACTGAAGTGGGCGGTAAACTTGTATTCAACAAACTTTCCTCATATTATTCAGCCGGAATTTTCTACGCTAGTAAACTCTTCAGCTTTGATCTCGTTTGAAATAAGTCGGCCAACTTAATACCACTCGACAGACCGAGGGGTATTTAAAAAATCAAAAGTCAGCTCACTCGCTCAATTCCTTTGCTTTCTGACCCCCTAAAAACCCCTGTAACAAACGTTTTATAATTAGGCAAATAGAAGTGTATGATCGTTTCTCGAAATCTTTGCATAATGGTTTTGTACTAGTTTCTTTTTTTCCATTTTGAGACTGCCATAAAATAAAACTAATCTCGCACGATCGTCCCGTGATTAAATATCAGATTCTGGATTAGGAAATCCCATAAAACTGTCGCTTTTTCCATTCCATCGGTTGGTGTCCAACAAATGGGGTGTAATTGAAATGGGGTGTTTGAGAGCCAAAAAGCCGTTTCACCAACCACCAACCAGAACGTGCAGAAGCAATAGTCATCTCACCTCACCAATGCCAGCCATCAGAAAACCACCATTATAATACGACGACGAGGACTAAAGTCTCCTTACGCACCAACTTCTTCAAAGTTCAAACTCATTTAATTAGAAAAGTTCCGCTTTTATATACGAAACTGGTCGTACTCCTGGCTCCATTTATTGGCTCAATCACATCATAAACCTTGAGTTGATGACCCGATCTCATCATTATTGGGAAGATAGCATGACTTTCACCCCACACACTTGACTTGTTTACGACTCTTTGTTGTCTCCAATTTCGCGTAGTGGAAATTATTCACACTGCACGATATAATGCGTGATAATGGCCACCAAACCATCGTCAAATACATGAGGTGGCCTTACTTGATCTTATTTGCAAACTGTGGCAGTCATATTTAACACACAACCGATTCCACCCACGAAAGATGATGATCACAAACCGTAATAGAATGGGAGTCTCAGAGGGGACACAGAGATGTAAAATCGCTGTTTAGTCTAAAAAAAAAAGCTTTGCACAAAGTGATTTATGAGGCATAAACTCCACGTCCACCGTCGCCGTCATCTGGACCAAGCACTACCCGCCGAAAATTTTCACTCTCCCTTTCTCTTCCTCTCTCACTGTTCTGATGAATATGCAGAGCCATGTATGAGGAGTCAAATCAGTTCCATCAAAAAATTGCATTTATGCTCAAACCCATAAATTTTACGACGTGCGATAAGCTGTAAACGTTGAGACAGCCAACCCACCGTACGTACCCACCACACACACAGCTCAAAGAAAAGTGAAGAATGCAGAAACACTTTCTCCGCTGACAGCAAAAAGCAGAACACAACACCAACCAAGCTAATTTTGATACTCATTAATCACAAACAAACTTCATCCATCCATTGATCCACTTTCTCTTTACTTCAACCAAAGACTCCTCCGTCAAACCAACTTTCGCTAACTTGCGAAATTCAGTCGTGGGTAGAAATAAGAGTGAGCAGGAATAAATACCTTTTATTCCTTGTTTTATTTCATGTTATAATACTCACCATCACACTGAGATCGCATCTCGCTCTCAAAATTCCTCCAATTCAATGAATTCACTGGGAAACTTTATTTGTCTCTCTCCTAGTTTTGCATAACCATTTTTGTAATTATGGATGCCCAAAGAAACGCAGAAGATGGTGCCATATCAGGAGTAAGGTCTTCTAGGGACGCGGGGTTGGGTGATGGGAGTGGAATTGCATAATAATAATCAACATAATGTTATGAGCTCCTCATCCGAGGGAGAAAGTATTGATTGGAGGCGAGCTCATGAAGCATAACCCAAAAGGGTGAAATGTTCCTGTCACAAAATGAAACTGCGTGTCTGAACTGCCCTTCTCTGCCATCCCATTAAAGTTCCAAATCGAATATGATTCCAACTCCAATTGTACACCACCGCCATACATTTAAATAACCATCGTTCTCACTCTCAATAAATAAAATATCGCTCTGATATTTCCTGCCAACGAGATGCACAAGGAGAGGGAGTACGTCTATAAACCAATATAGTTCTTCGTAAAATGCACATATAAATGTAAATCCGCTTACTCCCTTCTCCCCGTTCAACTGTATACCAAATACACACAACCCTTCACCAACAGGAGTCGCAAACCACACACACTTTCCAACAACAGGAAAGCGTAGTTGTAGATATGACTGTCAGGATCAGAGGAGGATCGTGTACATGCAGGTTCGGTTAGAAGAGCGGAATTGGAGGTCAAGTCAATCGATGCATGCGCGAGGACGAGACTAATTCCATTTCATCCAAATCAGAAGCCATTTAAGCAAATCGTTCAATGACAAAATATAATTCCTTCCATTCGCTTGTTCCGACGTTGTGACGACCAAACACAAACTTCGGTTTATCTGAATTCCGTATAGAGAGGAGTCGGGTTGCGGGTCAACCCGGTCAAAAGCCAACATGCCTGGGTTTGGGCGGGTTGAACCTCCCCTAAAGCGGGTCGGTTTGGGTTTATATTCTCCCAGATCAGGGAGGTTAAGGGCGGATCGGGTTTACTAAATCGGGTCGGGGTTTCTTAACGTCTGGTAGGGCGGGTCGGGTTTTCAGATAGATCTCCGATCCGACTCATCTCTACAGTTCTGTATTCCTTCCAAGTCATCATGATTTATTGTCCTCCCACCACATGACCACATCAACTACAAGTATTTACTATCAACTAAACTATGGAATATGTTATGCCCAGCCTTATATTGCGAACAGGAATGAAGATAATTCGTTTCCTTAACGAGTAAATGCAAGAAGATGGACTTTGGTCGATGGAGATCCGGCTCTCTCGTCGTCTTCATTTCCACTTTCCACTACGTAGCAATATCCGATCCTCTTCTTTTCTCTCCCATTCCTTGCCCAAATATTTACCTAATTCACTTGAAACAATAAGCTCGCTTTGTCAAGTAAAAGTTTGCTACTATTGAGAGAGGCTGAACTCGGGACGAGTATACCAATAAAGTGAGAGCTACATTGCACTGGTAATTAAGAATGGTGGCACTAAGTGCTTGTACCCATAAACCTTTTGAATTCACCAGCCACGTTCTCTCAAAGAAAGAAACAAAGGAAGCAAGTGTGGAGCTTAAAGTGCTGGAACTGGAATCAATACGAGTTCCTTCCTATGTATTTGTATGTGTGCGTTATATCCTGTTGTGTCCACCTCCAATCTCACAGTACCGTCGCATTCACTCTCGACAATTGAAGTGAAAGTAAGTGGAGAGAGAACCTATTTCCCATTCCATTCCACTGAATAGTGAATTGGATTGCAGATTGCGTTCCTCGATCTACTGACACTTTGAACGACACTCGCAAACAAATTGATAAACATTCCAATACATTTTACTGCGGATAATAAACCGGACACTTTTATCAACAAAACAACATTTTTTTATTTGCATGTTCATTTTTGGTAAATTGTGCCATAATCTGAGCATCAAAAGTTGGAAAGGTTTCGATTCAATAGCATGGCACGCAAAAAGGATTACGACTTATGCTCTCACCAAAACTCTTTTCACCATTTCAGAACACTCATCTTCTCGCTTTTCCTTCAAATGGCAAAAGTGGAGCAAGATTACTCTCACCACATTTGCGAGTTTACTTAACCTGAAAACCGAGAGCAGAGAAGAGAGGAAACGAGAGAAAGGAACACAAAAGACTAAAATGGCCTTGGGCGTAAAACGCGTAATTTGAGATTTAAAATATTAGCTTAAACCCAACACAACATCGCTGACCTGATGACAGGGTTAGCTTCTACCACTACTACCAGGCATTGGGAACTGCTAAACTTTGTCAAAAAATATGATGCATCCCAGGAGATGATGGTCCGAATAATATGCACTGTAGTAAAATTTACCACGAGGCGGGTCATATATAAACATGAAGAAACTTACCAAGACGTCCAAAGCTTCGAGAGAGGCGCTTCTTCAACTTTTGTACACGAGATAAACCTTTCTTCGTCTCCCTCATGGTCACCGACACTGTAATTTAAAACAGAGAAGAGTTGGTTATAAAGCCATTTGCTTATTCATACATTTATTTTTGTGTTAGTTGCGGTAATGAAGTAATTATACTCTCCCAGCCTCGTAATGACGGGCCAGGCAGATATTCCACCCTCAGTACAAACATGCATACATACACGCACATATCTAACTTTGCGGCGAGGGAATGTTAATTTAGTCGTAGATTAGATTGCGCCCCATTTCACTGTGTCCCCAAAATGTAATGAACACACCCGATGCAGAAAAACTAACTACTAATTTCCGAAGCCATAGACTGTCAACTCTTTTCAGAATTGCATACATATCCTTGAACAAAGGAGGGAAGGGGTGCTCAACTGCTCATTACTATAACCCCGAATTGCCACTGTGGATGATTGATGCGGCCATCGTCATTTTATCTCCACCACAAAAAGACGACTCTCCAAAATTAGTGTTGAAAATTATGTCGCCAATAAAGTTGAAACTTTGAGTAATTTCATGCCTATTCTTGAGCAACTGCACGAAATATCCACGTTATAAATAGATAAACCAACAGTGTAGACATGACATAGTCGGTGATTTTCCTTGCGTCTTTCTTAATTTCTAAAATCAGTGAGGGTAAGCCTACTTTGGGTCCTCTGACCAATAATTTACAAAACTGGCATCTTTATTGCTATCAATTTCGCTATTTACATACAGATATTTTATCACTTTATAATTGCTTTTATTTTTCGATTGATTTGTAAAACTAACATCCTCGTCGAGATCCGCATTACGAAACTAAGGAATTCGACACCAAGTTCGTATTATCGAATTTGGTAAATAACCATTCGAAAGTATAATTGTTGTCATTGTCACTTGTAAGTGACAATAAGTAAACTTGTGTACGCCGGACTCAAACCCTAAATAAATCCAACTTAAAGCACGTTAGATTGGGGGAGATGAGTTGACGTTATTGCTTCACGAGGTCTGTTAGCCTTGCGAACAAAGTAAATAAAGTAAAGTGCTCCTCTCATCCTCCTCCCTCGTGCTATGCATATGGCTCTTAATTGATAAACTGCATCCTAAATTCTCATTAGCTAGTGACGCGCAGAGACACTGCACTTTATGCTACGCTGATTGCTTACTGGGGAGAGAGATCTAACTCCCAGAACCTACACATATTGTGCACGCCAACTTCACCTCTAGACCAGTCTCGAAATTTGTAATCAAGTCCACGTGGGATAGTCAACAAACAAATACTTTTGAAATGCGATAATTTTTGCAAGGGTAACAATGAGTAGCTTAAGTGAAATGAGAATAGCGGAAAATAAGTAGGCGACCCATACCGTCCACCACAAAGTCCTCTGGAGTGGGCAGGGGAAGCTCAGCATCGTTCCAACAACCAACCTCTTTGCATCTTATCAAGAGAGACGACTTATTGTTCGCACTATTCATTGCATTACAGGAAGAGGAGGTGATGATGATGAACAAACCACAACACCCAGCACCACGGTCGTCGTCATCATCATCAGCATATGGCTGAATCCTCACACTTTTGTTGACATCCAATTATCTTTTGTTTGCTTAACCTGTTTATGTTCCCGTAATGCAATCAAACCCTGCCAAGACTCGATTCAACTCTCTCTAACACACACACACGCCCAAGTTCATTAGAAGAGCATAATCCACTCTCCACACTTCACGTTATCAGTCAAGTCCGTTTCATTCAGATGGATGGACAGAATATAAATCAAATCAAGTTAAACAATGCCCCGTTTAACCAGGTCATTACACACTAGTCAAAATTTGGACCGACTGACAGCTAATGGAGTGACACCAACGACAGCACAGCACGCACAATGTTCGTGGGCGAATAAATATATACTTGCTGATTTTGGCAGCTTTGTTAACTTGACCTGCAACTCTTCCTATGAGTTGATATTGGCGAATTTGTCAGTTTTTACTTGAGATGGTATATGTATATGGCGAGTGTGAGAGGATTAATAAATTGCAGATTCAGACGCATGTGGCCACCACCAAGGAAAACGACAGAACAGCAGAACCCGTCCTCGTCGTAGTGCTTTGGAAGACAACCAAGAACTGAGCGTGAGTTGAGTTGGAGCCACGTTGATACTTGGAGAAAGCAAGGTAGAGAGTAGAGCGAGAGAGAAAGAGGAGAAGCGATAGGACGGACGGAATTCCCGTTTTCACCTCGAATGCATTCCAAATTGCAAATTCCATCTATCTCCAAGAGAGCAAAAGAAGTGAAAGCGGAGAAACCAGAGAGAGTTAGAACACACAATCGCTGCCGCCGCCACCACCAACGACGACGACGACCAACAGACTTTATACACATGAAGGTTATCACAACGAGGATCAAAAGAGGGTCCTATACTCACGCGCAAAATCCAATAAAATTGCACGTCTACGGATGCTGTGCTTGTGCAGAGGAGGATTACCATGAGTCGGCCAAGGTTTCGTATATAATGCATATCACAGACTTGATCCTATATAGCTTAGTAAAGTTAATCTTTTTCAAGATGTCAATTGCAGATGATTCAGTAATCGTAAGAAAGATGATATCGTACAAGAAGAATTTAAAATGTAGATGGATGCATGAATACTCCCCAAGTATGCACGTAAATTCAACTATTACAGAAACAACTAAATCCTAAGTACATGCATGTCTTCAGTATATGGACTCATGTACGTATGTATGTATGTACAATTATGCATGTCCTTACAGGATATCTAACCTTTTCATGTGCCGATCTGCTTCTGACTCCATGAAGAATAATTGGAAAATAAATAAATAGTATGATGAACTGCGGCGTGTGAAAAATATCCCCCTTTTTTTATGTCGTTATATTGTACCAAGAAACAGAGCAACCAAACCGCTCCCACCCTCGTAAAATATTCAAATGGGGTACTCCTCTCTCATAATTTTGGATTTCAGGTTTTGCCAGCTCTTCTCCATCCCCTCTTCCTCAGACCCCGGCATGTGGGTCGGACCCCATTTCTTTCTTATTCAGCAAAAGACAACACCACCAAACGAAGAGACGGGGGAAGGAACCAGAGACAATTTTACTCATGATCCTTATGGCATGAGTGCAGTCATCTCTAATCGCTTTATTGCAACCGAAGACCTGTAAATCCATTAGCGTTTGGTTTAAAATTGAAACTTGTTTCCAAACTGTCCTGTACATAGTTCCTAACAGTACACACGACGGACAAAGTTTATTGTTTTTATCCCAAAGTTTTGTCAGCTAGCATGTACAAGCAGCTTACAGAGAACGTATGTACTTATCTAGCTACCGGGGAGGGCTGTTGTGTGTGTATGTTCGTATAGTATGTAAGTAACCATATTAGTGGAGAGAAGGACGTGCTTTCTCTTACACAGAGTCGGATAAAAGTTCCCCAATGTCACGTAAATCTGATTCCCGACTGCACTTTTTCATTGCATCCTCTTTTTCTTCCACTGCCTTTGGACGAGAACCAACTGGGCTGGACTCTGGTCGGTCGTACATTTCGCCCGTCCGTCCTACATGCCCCAGTAGTATTCTAGCCGGTGAATAAACAGAAGAGCAAACAAGTCCCCTGCCTGACTGCCTGTTTCTTGTCTCAAAGGTCTTTCCCCTCTGTCCTCCCTCGTCATGTCGTCCCATCCCGATTGCATGGCTCAAGACCACCAGGAGACGACGAAGGAACCTTTCTTATTGAAATCAGCGATTGAATAACCACCAGAATGTGTGTAGGAATATCTTCCTGCATGTTTGGCCTGGCTCTGTTCTTTGTTGCATTCAAACCCGACCAAAATTTACTGTCTCCTGGTTGCACTCAGAACCCTCGACGATGGAAACGGGAGCAAATGAGATGGGGAAAGTATGCACGTAACCCTCGCATGTTTGCTGGAAGAGTGAAAAGTAAAAGTTGTTGCTTAAAACTTGGAATTGGAAAAGAAGCAAAGTTGTTCCATCAAAAAACAAAAGAATCTTTTGCTCCTGCTGCAGGTCTGCTCTGAAGGAGGAGAGCACAGAATAGCGGGTTCTTCTAGAAAGAGAGAGTCGATAATATTTCTTCACTATACGACGATTGCTACCAGTATTGTGATTTCCTCCTCCGTCGTCGTCGTCTTTTCTTCTCGGTCGTCCTTCAGCTCACGATGGCGATATTGTAACAAGAGAATTTATCGTTATTACCCTACTTCCCGATTTTATGACAAACTTTCTCTCGTTTCTTTCTTCCCCATTTGCTCTGGTTGCTTGAGCCCAGCAGCCGGGTGAGCATCATTTCTTCTTCTTTTTTTCCTGCTCCCTTCAGAGATGATCACACATACACATACGGAAAATGGACATGACCACCAAAAGCAGAAGCACGTGTCGAAGGGGCCATAAATTCTCTACGTCACTGCCCCAAGCACTCCAAATTATAATATGGATATGACTACATTCCCATTGGACGTCAAAGAATATCTTCATCGTCATGGACTCCTGCAGACTTTACAGTAAGCAGCAGTGCCAATAACCAACTTGATGCCTCTCCCACCATCATTCCATCACTTTGCGCCCATACTACAACAAACAAGGGGCGACTCTCCTCCGTCTCTAGCGACCCAAGACCAAGACCCAAAGCTATTCTGTGTATGAACTACTCCTTGATCAGGCGGGAGTGAAGGTGAACACGCGTTCTCTTCCTCCCTTTACTGTTTCTTTATCTCATCATAAACATGTCTCTCCATATTCAATCATCTCGTAAACACTAAGAGGAAGGCAAACACGGGGAAAGTACTCACGCTCCTCCGCGGTGGGAGACAACACCATAACTTTCCCAGCGGCAAAACACTGTGGAATTAGATTGAGGATTATGTATTGCATTAAAAGTTGAGCATCACACATCCAATCCGCTACTTACATGCCTACTTGGTCCGTGCATCCCTCCACTTGCTTTAGTGCCAATAACGTATCAATCACTCTCGTCTTCTCATCCTCTTATCTGCTACCTGGAAGCAACGTCTAGAG